AATATATATATATATATATATATATATATATATATATATATTAATTTTATAGGTATACCAACGGTACACTAACTCTACAAAACTCTTAAACGCCTTATGACAAAATAATCTCGCTAGTTAGAACAAGCTTTTATACAAGTAAAAAATGATTTATACTCATTTTTCGTTTTTTAACTAAATATCTTATCCTAGTCTACCAAAGTCTATGGACTCAATCTCTTTCCAAGCTATATCTAACAATGCTCTCAAGATACAAAGATCTTTTGGCATTGTTTTCAAAACAAAAATGATGACATAATTAATTAAAATAGAAAAGAAACTCTTGTAAATCAATTTACCATTTCAGTTATCAAAAGAATTTGACCGAACAGTTGACTAAGAAAGGAGAAAAATACAGGTAAGAAATAAAATAGAAACAGCTTTTAACCTATAGAACAAATCTATCGTTTGAAATTTAAAATACAGAAAAATGAACGAATTCAACGGAGAACAAGGAAAAAAGTTTGCACCATCTTCCTGTAAAGAAATATATATATATATATATATATATATATATATATATATATTTTAAAAAACACGGTTTTAATTGAAAAAAAACAGCAATAAAGAAACTATTAAATGCTTGTAGGAAGTTAAATTAAACATATTAAAAATAATATATTTAAATTTATTTTACAGAAGCAATAAATGAATAAATTAATGCTTTCTTTCTTTTCCGGATTGACTGAATTTTGATGACGAAGAGAAATTACAAAAAGTTTCTCAAACCACCACCAAAGACTGAAACGTTGACAGGTAGCATAGTGAGGGGAAATTGTGAGGGTAAAAGAAGAAGCAGAAAGGTGACACGGGGATGGCTCTTGGAACATTTTTTCAATTATGCTCCATGTCAGCAGCACACTTCAAATGCGTTTCTGAAACAAACGCGTCCATTTCTATATAAGTGAAATCAACGTAAATGAGAATTCCTATGATAATCGAAACTCTACGTTTGTAAGACAAACCTGATCGCTTGTGTTTTATAAATGAAGTAGTCTCAGCCTTCACTGTTCAGTGTTCAAATCTGTCACAGTTTAGACACAGAGTGAGAGAAATTGCGTGACAGACCAAGTGAACAAAGCTGTCAACTTTTTCGCTGCTCAGTGCCTTTGTTTCAGCAGATCCAGTGAGTATATCCTCTTCATCTTTTATCTTTTGTTTTTTTAGAAATGGGTTTATGATTTGTGCTGGATCTATTTGTATCAGACCAATTTTGCATGTTTTATTTTCGTTGATCTGAACATTCTTTGTGTCTTCAAAGATCCGATTTTACGGACAGAAAAGAGATCTGATTTTTAATTCTCTATAAATTGATTTGCCCTACGCCGTTTGGTATTTCAGGTTGATGGTTGTGAAAAATGTTTTTTTAAAGCAAAATTAAAATTTATGGCTGTGAGTAAAGGGTGCTCTGATTCTTATAGATCAAAACTGTATTTTAAAAATAAAATTAAGATCATACCACTTTTATTACTTTTGTATTTTAATTTTACCTTTTATTTTACTAAATCAGTTTTTTTTTCTTTAAGATAAGATATTTTTCTATTAATGGTATACTTTTTAAAATTATAAAATTCAGAGTGAGTCTATGATTTTAAGTTAAGAATTTAGACGATTTGGGTTGGTTTCCAAATTTTCTGTGGTCGGAGAGAGAAGGAATCTTTAATCTCAATTCTCAATTTTATATTTCAGCTTTTACAAAATTAATAAAAATGTCAGAAGAAAAAAATTTGGTCAGTGAATTAAACTACAATTAAACGAGATTGGAATAGAAAAAAGTTGGTATGTTATAAGTGAGATTTGGATTATTACTATAGTACAAATGAGTTACCTCTTTTGTGTCCTTAACATCGTATGTGGTTTATAAGAAATATATGTTATTTACGTGAGAACCTTTTTTTTTCTTGCGAGCAAAAAAGAATATTTCATATAAACTTTTAGTTGGGAATTTCTATATCCATAACCTGTGACAGCTTCAATTATTGTATCACTAAATGAATGATTTATAAATAGATGTCAATAAATATATATATATATATATATAAATAGATGTCAATATATATTTTATAAATATATATGGCAGTTTAGCTAATTTATAGGGTAGAGTATCAGTCTGTATAACACAATATATATATATATATATATATATATATATATATATATATATATATATAAATAGATGTCAATATATATTTTATAAATATATATGGCAGTTTAGGCATAATTGTTATTATACTAATGACATTCACTTGAAACATAATGGGAAAACTGGACTTTGGTATAAGATGATTGATAGTATGTTGTTTGGGAATTGATCAGGTTTACAGTGAACCAGTTTACTTTGAGTATACGACCTTGAGAAGTGAATTTAGCGATGAACCCTCATGTTGAAGGTGGGTCAGCTGGACAAGCTAATGCAAGCAATCAAAATTATTGTAGGCATCACCTTTCTAGTGAAACACAGGAGAGGCTGCTTCCCTTATTTCCCCTCTTTGCTACTGAGGAAGGGTTTCCTGAGCCAGAAGTGAATCTTCCTCAACAAGGTGGCAACAACATTGGTGCCACAACTGATGTTCCACTTGAGGAAACCCCTAATGTTGTAGCACCGGAATCAAACATTTTCTCTTCAAGGCCCCTTGCTGGAAATCCTCTGGAAAATGTCGACTTGTGTCTGAACATTGGTTTCAGCCGTCAGGCTGCAGCAATATCTTCTGCTGTGATTCCAAGTTCAAATCTTGCACGTAGCGTGCATGGAAGCAACTCAAACTCCGTGAGCATTCCAAGAAAAAGAGGTTCTGGAGAATTTCATCGGGGTGAAAGTTCAAACATGGGTGAAGGGACAGGAGAGGTCAAAAGACTTGCTACTGAGTCTCAGGTGAGAGCTAACAACAATGTGAACCCGTCACCACCATCACTTTCTTTGGTGCAACAAGAGTATCAATTCCTCCGTGGCCCCCATGTTAATCCAAACAATGAAGGGACACCTTTTCCTACACCCAATACCCCTGACGGGATGACTAATACTGATGATGAAAGAAGAGGTTATCATGCTCCGATACCAAGTCACGCGAGTTTGCCTTTCAACGGAACCTCATCACATTCCCAACTGTTTCCTCTGCAACCCTCACATTCCGTTCGGCCTCTATCCCTTCTCAGTAATTCATTCATGTCCAGTTCTATCCCCAACCTTAACAACCCAACCGTGCGGAATGCTCATCACTTAATATCCTCTCCGTGTCCTCACGCTAGAATCGATAATATGATTCCATTTTTTGAACATAGAAATGACATGTTTGGTCCTCTAGTTACATCCAGTTATCGACCAAACGGGTCTTACGTTGATAGTGATCGAGAGACTATTAGAAGGGCTCTTCTTTATGGTCTCCGTCAGTTCGAAGCCCCGGAATCGGAACCACTGCAATTACTACCTGGAATTATGGGCAATGGTGGCAGAGTTAGTAATGCTGGAGCCAATACGTACCACCCTCTGAGTGATTATAGCGCTACAGCTTGGTTTCTTCCACAGGGCTCACGAGGAACGAACCATTCTGCTCCAGCAAGTAGTTCTGGCACTCAGAATCATCATAGGCCAATACCACAATCTCCTTCTCTTGAATCACTAAGGGAGCTTCCATCTGAGGTATGCTCAATTCCTTTTACCTTCACATAATTAAGTAATACAAATATTATTATTATTATTATATCCATATATGAATGTGGGATCAATATAAATTTTGGTGATAAAATACATGTAAATTTGGTGGCTTTATAGGTGTAATTAAAAAAAGGAAGAGTTAAACTGTTGATCCTCATCTATACTTCGCTCTGTCAATGTATTTATTTACATCCATATATACCACAAACATGCATGGGTAAGACACTTCTACAAAAAATTTATGACTTTTTTTATCATTGTGCTGACAAAAAAAACTTTTCTTATCATTGTATATTGCTATTATTATATCTTTAGTTCATTATTTTTCTCTTTTAACGCAGAATATTAGGAATGGATCCTGTTATATATTATTGTTGAAGTTCTTTCTGAATATTGCGAGATAATTTAGTTAAATGGAAAATGGTTCTTAAAGTACCATGAATGATAAATTTTCTTATAAGTTCTTTGAATTTGTTGTGTACATTGTGTATGAGTTATGTGACTAAAGAAACATATTTTAATAGTAGATATTCATGCAATGATTTGTAGCAATGTGGATACTATCGAAAACAATGCATAGTAGTTAGACTATTATGATCAAATGAGAATCTACGAACGCTTGTTGAAAAATTTTTAAATAGGAAAGATAAGAACATTAATCTCCATTAACTGTGTCATTTCTTTTATTTCCTTCAGTCCAAAATGCACTATTAAAGTGAACAAAACTTTGATACACATTAAAGCGGTATACTTTTGAAGTATGCTTTAAGTTCAAAATTTTATCACTCTTTGTTTCGCGGTTTGATGCATAAATTCTTGTTTGTTTACCTTTCGTTGATAACTAATTTAGCTTTCACATACTGAACTGTATTGAATTTTATTTTTCATACAGTTTCGATCTCTCTTTCATTTTCTTAGAGATGTTCGCGATGGTAGATTTTCATGCTCTTACACTCAAATTCTATATAGACGATGATGCCTTATAATGATTTAACCTAGCCAATTTCAATCATTTATCTTTTGAGAATAACTTTTTTTAAGTTCCTACAACTTATGTTTAGTCTGAAAGGAAGCAATGCATTTTGAGTTCTATCTAAAAAGTATTATTTGACGCAGATTGAGCACCCTGGAGTATTTGGGACGTCGCAAGCATTCACGGGACTAAGTCTGGAAACGATAATGCAGTTCATGGAGCGTGAAATTTTCTTGGTTGATGAAGATGTCTCAGAAGAAACTAAAGAAAGATGTCCCGTCTGTCTGGTCAGCTACTACTTCATTCATTCTTATCTTCTTCATTCATCATGTTTCCATAACTCTTATGTATTAATTTTTGTTTTACAACATGTTTTTCCAGGAAGAATTTTGCAGGGGAGAGGATATTGGGAAGCTGCATTCGTGTGTTCACAAGTTTCACTTTGATTGCATCAAAGAGTGGCTCATGCAGAGGAATCTTTGCCCCGTCTGCAGAAGAACCGCGTTGGAAAGGCCTAATGACCCAAGTCTACTATATATACTTTGAATAATTGAAAAGCGAGAAATACATATTATCAGCTTTTACTACTTTTTTATAATAAATAATCATCACTATAGTAAGTATCGTTACATGGACACCTAAATAGTATTTATATCATACTCCAGAGATATATAATGTTTGAACTTTTACAACTGAACAAATACTTTCCAAATTTTATATATTTGGTATATAGGATATATATATATATATATATATATATATATATATATATATAATTTTAATTACCTATTTAATAGTTTTGATTTCAAATTTCGTTCTCTATACCACATCCCATGTATTACTTAGGTAATCTTAACCCGCAAGCCCCACTATTTGAAAAGGGAAGCTTCAATATTAATCATATCTAGACTTATAAATTCTCTCAACCACCCTCCTCTCATTTTCTTAAAATCTAGTGAAAAAATGGTATTTTATAACGTACAAAAGTGATATATTATAACGTATTTACTGGAGACATAGTTCTGGACGATATAATAGGGCGGGATGTATTATGACGTAGAAGTTTTTGTACGTTATATATTTTTGTACGTTATAATATGTTATCTATTATTACGTATATACTTTTGTACGTTATAATATGTGATCAACATATAATAATAATAATAATAATAATAATAATAATAATAATGTACATCGTTTAGTACGTCATAATATATGTTTTTTTTTTAAATAAAATTGAAAATTACATTTGACATCGAATGAAATTATAGTAATATTCTTGTATTATCATCTCATCCAATCAATTTATAATCAATATAACTTCAAATTAATAAATTCAATGTAACTAATAAAATAGAATTCATTTCAAACATTAAATTGTCTAATAATATTTAATACATCATTTATACATGAAACTATATATTAAATCCAAATATTACATTAATGTACAAAAAAGAACATCGCGATTTCTTCTCTTACATTAGGTGTGATTATTTGCATCTTAAACAGATGTAACACAAAGTTTCTACTAATACTTAAAATAAAAGAACTTCGATTTTTTCTATTAACAGATTTAGATTTGTCCTGACCGATTCGGTATATAGGATTTTTGTTTGTCAAAACTTATTTTTTGAAGCAAAATAGTGCAAACATACTCTAATTCTTATAGATCAAAATTGTATTTCTAAGAAATTGCATAACAGAAGCATGAAACCAATATAATCTTTCTACTGCGCAACAACACTAACAAACCTAGCCTAAGAAAATACTTGCCAAAAATTTCAAGATCTGTGCAAATACTTTTGTTATATCTGCAATTTGAATTAACACATTGGAGATATCAAGCAAATATTGTATGAAATTTCTTTGGCGGGTAGCTTGCTTCTTTGATGTTTCTTGCGTGTTAGTCTGATCTTTATTTTGAGTCGAAGCTTCTTCCTTCATTTCTTGATTCTTTTCTGAATTTGACTTCATCGAACTTTTAACCTTCTTAGCTTACCTTCCTTATCTGAACAAGAAAAGGTTTAATATTGATTAAAAATTAATTAAAAATACAGCAACGTACCGGAAGATGACGTTGATATTTTAGTAGACGCTCTTCTCGGCAGAATTCATCTTAACTTTGGCAACGAATAAAATATATAACAATGAATGATTTACTTACTATATTCTAGATTAGTAGTCCGTAACAAGTAATGTCAAAAATTATCTTTTGAAACAAAATAGTGCAAAAGGGTACTCTAATTCTATAGATCAAAATTGTATTTCCAAAGAAGTTAACATAAGTTATCCTATTAATTTTTCTTTTAATTTATGCTTTTATTTTACTCATCTAATTTTTATTATCTTTTCACCTTCTTTGAAAAATAATCTCAAAAATATAATCTTAGAATGAAATAAGTTTAATATCTAACTTTTATTTATAAATTTTAAATTTTTATTTATTTTAAACATTTTTTAAAATAACTCCAATCTTAAATAAAAATATAAAACAAAACAATTAAGTGAAAATAATTATATATGAAATTTCAAAAATTAAAATAGATAGTTGGATAGAGCTATGTGCATATCTATTATCAACCACAAATAGTAGCACTTATTTAAAAAAGTGTTATCTATTAGTGACTGACAATAGATAGCACTTATTTAAAAAAACGATATTTGTTAGTATAAAATTTTTTTAAAAAAAATTAATTTTAGAATAAAATATTTCATAAAATATATATTATTTTTTAAAAATATATATATAAAATATTGATTCTATTATTTATAAACTCATACTATTTATGGGTTCGATTATATACTAAAAAATATAAAATATTGAAAAAAAATATGACAGATTTCAAAAAAATATTCATTAGTATGAATAAAAACTATTTAATACAATAATATTTCAAAATATAATCGTTGAGTCGTCCAGTACCTATAAGCTTGTAGGTCACCATAACATAACCTATAAACCTATATTAATTACATGTAAACATCAATCTTCCCCAACTTCAATTATTTGATTGTCACGATGTTGTTGCAACTAGAAAAATAATGCAAGAAAGAAAAATAATATAAAATTAGTTAATTAACTTTTTACTACAAATTAATTATGACAATAAAAATAACTACAAAGTAGAAAACATCTTTATAATTTGAACATACTAGCAAACCAGAACTCCAGTAAACTACAAATAGATTCAGTACATGGTAACAAACAACTATATACAATATATAAGTTTAAACTCTTAACAAGTTTAAACTCTTAACATTAAGTAATGTTTTCACGTACACAAATATAATATGAAAAGATATTATTTACACATTTGTCTCAAACTTGTTGACACGAATGCTTCCACAGTTCTTGATAGAGAATGTTACTAAATATTTGATCCCAATTCCTTTATCTAAGTATTGTGAAAAAAATCAAACTGATTAGAAAATTGCAATAGTTGAAATTGGCAAAATTTGTAGAATTTTGCATTGACACTACAAGAAAAATCGCAGTTACATACGATCAAAATCCGTATATAACCTCCAAAATCCATATATAAATTAATGTTATATACGAATTATATACGAACAAAAATCCGTATATAAAAGGAACATAGATAAATTATATACGGATATATCCGTATATAAATTACATACAAAAAAATTCGTATATAAATTACATACAAAAAAATTCGTATATAAATTACATACAAAAAAATCCGTATATAAATTATATACGAAAAAATCCGTATGTAAATTACATACAAAAAATTATTAATTGCTTGTATCAATCATTAATTGCTTATGTCAATCATTAATTGCTTATACCAATCATTAATTGCTTATACCAGTGACAGATTTGAACAAAATGAATTAAATCACAAACAAACATTTTACATTAATATATAAATATTATTTACATGAATATAATTGTCAATTATATAAATGGATAAAAAATGTCTCAACGTAAAGAAAACTTGAGAATTACAATTGTATATGGTCAACTACTTTTAATATTGACGATGAAAGAATCACATAGCTAAGGCATAGCATCCCAATTGCATAACTCAGGATTATTATGCTTTCCTAAAATTAAGGATGTTACAAATGCATACTTATGAACATGATCAGTATCAAAGCTAATACATTTAAGCCACATGTAACGAAAAAAATTATCCAAGAAACTTCAATACAAATATGTCAAACGATCTTCAAGAATACTCATCTCTTATGAATTTTGAAACTCAGGTCTTCATCATCTTCCCAATCACTTTCTTCCACATCATCTGACCAATCACTTTCTTTTCCTCGTCATCAAAATCTTCATTCTCACCTGCATTCCAAATAACCAGACAAATTAATTGTCAATGAAGTTAACTATTAATTTTGCTCTTATTTCTTTCTTTCAATTTTTCTCCCTCATAAGTAATATAGAATATATTTAAGTATATTATTATACGCACTACAAATTCGATATTATCATTTACTAGTACAGATTGTAACATGCCCGAGCTTACTATGTAAATAGTAATTATATTATATATATAGCTCCTAATATTATAGAGACTATAGAGTATATATATATATAATATTTAAAAGCCACAAAAGATAGGTCATTATTCATCTTTCAAATCCCCACATCCCCACGGTCTTACCCTTCATGTTGTCCATGGAATTCAATACTCATCTCAAACGTTTGAAACCCACGTGGTGACTTATAGAGTTTTTACTTTATGGAAAAAATGACTTGAACGTTCAATCTAATTGTTGAATAAAGACATATCGTATGTTTACATTTAATGTAAGCTTTTGAAGTATTTTATAAATTGAGTAGTTTTCATTACACTCTATTCACACTTTGATATATTGGGGCGGCAGCGAAGGTTTCCTATTGACTGTGGAAGATAAAAATGAAACAGTTTGCTGAATAGAAAATATCTTAAAAGTAAATAAAACATAAGTAATTTTTTGTAATGCTATTGGTTACATGTTTGCCTAAAATTAATACCACACCTAGATTAGGAACGTTTTTCCTAGACTAGGGTGGGCCTGATTATGCAGTAAGTGGTGATTAGGTACCTTGCGCTGCTCTTGCATGTATCGAAACACTTACATCCTATCTAATGCATTTGACTCGGTTAATTAGGATTTTTTCAAAGGTTCTAGAGAAATGTTTGGCAGTCAATGCAACCAAATGGTAACAACAAAATCCGGTAAAATTGGAGTACCTAAGACAGAAAAAGGGGAAAACAACCTACACACACCAAGGAAAAGAGTAATTAGAATCAGGTAATAGAAGGAATTATAATTTGTGACCCTTAAGCAATGATTAATTGAGTGGTCAAGTATACCAATGGCAGATAAGGTGTTTTCGTGTCTTTAAATCCTCGAACTCACTCCTGTCATTCCCAGGAGCGAGAACGGCAGGAAGCACTACTGAGGAGCCTCATCCAGATCTGGTTTTTGTTGTGGGGTGGGCATGGGAAGTTCCTGCATAAATAGTCAGATTCTGGCAAGCATCCGAGGCTCAAATAAATCAAACTACGAAAGAAACAAGTTAAAAATAACACAAAGTTCATCCTAAGTTGGGAATGGCACAAAAACCTTTCGTGGTTTTCCTACAGAGCAATAGATCAGTGCGCTTGACGCAGGAACCAGAAACGTGCCCAGAAACCAACCGATCCAAAAAATGGTTAGTTATGGGATCAGATACCTCGCTGTAGAAGAACATCTTGGACTGCAAACTGACAACGAGAAGGCAAGAAATAAAAAGAAAGGGACACCGAGAAATGGCATGCGGAATCACAAATGCAAGGTAAAGATTTGCCTGCCTGTTGGGCGTCCCCTGCAACAAACCAACAAACCGTACATAATCCCTGCAAAGAAACAATGGTAACCAGAGCAGACCAAAAACTCAAAAGGTCACGACTATGTAGGCAACTTGTAATCACAACCAGAACAATTAATTGTGGGCTGTAGCCATCTGGGGTTAAAGCTTTGTCCACCTGCCTGGACAGAGAAAGTTTAATGAAGGGAAGCCAGGAGAAAATTTGACAAAAAGGTGGAGACCATGGGAGGTTATGGCGGGTATTAACTAGTACTCACCATTAACCGCGGATAGAGTAGCACCGATAGAGCAAAATAGCATCCACGTGCGGCGGCTAGTCGTAGATCAAATAATTAAGCAACCGGTACATAGGGACGAGGCAAAGAACAATTGATAGCGTGACTGTGAGTGTGCCCTGTCCAGGAGGGAATGCGATAGTAACGTTGTGCGGTCGTAGACGGGGGAAGCAACCAATTGGGGGGCAACCGGCGGAAGATTATCCAAGACTATCAGTGGGATAGAAGGGTCACTAACACCCTGAAGTAGCCGCACTGGGAGCGAGCAAGGAACAAAATCTCTTAGATGACAACTCGTTCCTGAGAATGACACATGAAAAATACAGGACCAAGAACATAAACCCCTCAGGCTTCACCATTGAAGGTGGAAACGTTTTTGAAAGGGTAAAATACGAAAGTAAGTTAAGGTATACCTCGTTTTGGGAACTTTTCCATTATCCCACACGGGCACAAACCGTCGTGCTCTCCAATCACTCTTGTCCTCCAACTCTCGACATTGCCCACTGGACGATAAGCACGATTGTTCTAACCCTCACTACTTTAGCACAAGATTTTAGGATTAGGGATTAGGGATTTAAAGGGACGAGCACAGAAAAAGGTTTTGAACGAAGAAACTTACCGATTGAACGAATAACACTCCCAAGTGAGCCTGATGTCCAACAAGGTGAGTGAACGCGAGAAGAATAGACGAACTTCTTCTCTTTAAGTGAGCGTGAGCGAGAAGAACGGTTAGTGTGAGACATTCTTCTTCTCTACCAGTGACCGTGAGCGAGTGTGAGTGAGAAAGCTTTAGTCAATGAGCACGAGACTCCGGCGCTACCATTCTAGCCGTCTCCACGTGAGTCTGAGAATGACTTAGGGTTCCAAGGGGAGAGCCAACGAGGAGGCATGACTGGTGGAGCGGTCTCCAGTTCTCTCAACCTTGTAATGGAGCACAAGGTGGAGGCTAGGGTTCGAGGAGAGGGTAACACGAAAGAGGCGTTTGCAGCAGAGGTTAGGGTTCCAATGGTGGCTAGAGAAGAAAGGTTGGATAAAAATGGCTTGATGAGAGCAAAGAACAAGAGCTCGAGAGGGAAGAACAAGAGCTCGTGAGGGAAGAAGAGAGGCTAGATGGCTCGATGAGAGGGAAGAAAGAGTCGAGGAGAAATTAAGAGTACTAATTCTGTCTCTTAGGTTTTCTATAAGGTTTAACTTTTTAATTTATTTTTTATTTATTGTAAAATCCTTATATAACATCTGCACAGAGAATCCACTAGTATACAAATTTTATATACATATTTATCTTTGCAAAGCTCCCGGGAAAAGGCGCCACCGTTATATACCAATTTTACATACAGAAAATCCTTATATATATTTTCTCCTATTATATACGGAAAAATCCGTATCTAATTCATCCGTATATAAAATCTGTATATAATGAAATCTTTATCTACGGATCAGAATCCGTATATAATAATCCGTATATAAATGACATTTTTCTTGTAGTGCAACTTTTAAGGATTCAAACTTGATGCAAGAAAAGCAAATTTTAATCGAACCATGGAGGGTTCAAGGCAACTACACTAAACTATTGGCATGTGCAGAATTTTAGCTACACTAAAATATGAATTTTTGCTTGTTCACTATTTATTTTACACAAAAGAGTATGTTAATTCAGTTATCCAGAACCAAATCTACCATTATGGTCTAGTCTTTCACGTAAGAGGTATCTAAAGTATGGATAATGGGATAAAGAAAATCATATATTTAATTGGACTTAATGTATAAGGTGTGATAATGAGGTAGTAATTGGTAGCTATTTTTTAAAAATTAAATACCTATTCTGTCTTATCAAATAACTATTTTTTCAGTAATAAAAAATTAAGAATTAGTTAAGTGTTATAAAACCTCTCTTATTTTTTTTCTAAAAGTTTAACTGTATAAATTCATTTTAGCTTACAGGAATTAATTTAACTTTCGTATGTTACAAATGCAAGATATTTAATCCATAATCCTAACATTCACTTGATGAAAAGACTAAAATATCAAGGATCTACACAATTAGTTTATACTTTTTTCTAGCTAAAAGTCTTAACATTAAGGAAAAACGGAATAAAAATTGGCACTAACAGAAAATGAGAATTGGTAGAGTTCGATGGTTCTTGGGAAAGGAATTGAAACAGAGTTGGTTCCACACAAAATCTCCTCCACGGCTAGAAGCAACAATAAGCTATCCTTGTTTAAAAGAACCAATACACAATAATAAATGAGACCACAGTCCCAGCCCTTTCACATACAGAATGAAGTTTATTTAATTAATTGAAATGATGGTATAACGAAGTCTGTTAGAGAATGGAGGGTTTATGGGAGGGTTTATGAGAGAAGAAAGGGAAAACAGAGGACTTAACTATGAGACAATTAAGTGAGTTGGAATTAACTGTGAGACAGTTAAGTGAGTTGGGAAATAACTGCTAGACAGTTAATGAGGTTTGGGAAATAACTGCTACACAGTTAATGAGGTTTGGGAAAGAGGCCTATATAAGGACCTCTTTGTTGTATCAGTAGAGGGATTTTAGACATTTGTTGAATTGTGAACCGCTCTTAGTAACTGGTGAAGGAGGTTAAGCTCCTGGACTGCTCTGTATAGTAGTTTCTTTCTTGTGAATACATACCCTTTTCTCATTCCATATTCTGTGGTGTTGGTCTCCGTGAGAGTAAGAGTGCGAGTGTGTTAGAATTCCTACCTAAATCTCTAACAAAGTCACTACGGTGACTTGAGGCAAGACCAACTTTGGTCAAAATAATATGTTATAATGAATATACCAAGACGAGATGATGTCCCACAAGCATAGCCAACCAACGTATAAGGTTCTTTGGAGACTAATCCATTAGCCACCTAACCTAAATCATTGAGGAAGTGTAGGGATATTGGCAAGTCATAATGGTGAATGAGAAAGATCAATTTTGGTATGATCCAAGAACTTACAAAAGTGGATAGACAAGGTGTCGCATCATGTGTAATTATTTTCTTTAAAGCTAATTGTATTAGTCCAAACTCACGGAAACAAAATGGGCAGAATTAAAAATCCTGTACTATTTGGGATGATAGGATGGACAATTTAGGGTGAACAATAAAGTGCTCCAAGCTTTCTAAAAATAAACCAATAGCTATGAACCTCCATTCATTGACATGAAAGAATCAAACCTTTAGCATAGATCATTGCCACCAACTTGGATTGAATTTGAACCCCATACTGCTGCAACCTGAACATGCAGTCAGTGCCTGTCTGCAAGACTCTCCAAAAGCTTTGCAGCAACAAGTGCCGCAGTCAAAACATATCCTTCATTTTTAAACATGTGTTCTCCGTTGAGGTATTGAACAAAGATATCAATAAGAAAGGGTCCTACATAAGAAACACATGTAGACAAGAATGCCAATAAACCTGATAAGAAGATTAAGAGTTGTCAAATTCCTAACACTACCACACTCTAACTCTAGTTTGCTTCTAAAAGTTTGAAAAATCCCTTAGTTTAAAGTGAGATGTCCTCATGGTTTAAAGTCCTCTCATTGCCTACTGTTATTAATGGACTGATCCACGAGAAAGTGAGAATATTAAAAAATCCAGCATTATGAATTTCAGCTTAAATTTTCATTTCCTTTTGTCTTAATGGGACCAGAGTTGCTGCTTGTACTGGAGTCACCGTTTAGAAGGGTCTTTTCAAGAGGGGAAAGCTTAGCCATGTTGTTAACACAACAACCTGTGGTAGAAGATCCTATATAACAAATCAAGGTATATAATTGGCAAGAAAACATGTTTTACATAGACACAACACCAAATTCATTACAATCTAAATCTTCAAACTTGAGTGCAAAATCATGAAAACTGTGAAAGATAACACCTATCCCACCATTTTAAGAGATCCATTCATTTCATCAAAACTGGACCTTACCTGGTGACGCTGCGATATATAGAGCTCCATTTTCCAACAACACAGGGAGGCATTTTACTGATACACTCTTTGGCGGTGCAACCCCTATCTTTCTTCACTTTCTCCAATCTTTAATATAGCAAGAGTTGATCAATTGCAGAGTGAACCCTTGCCCTGCATTGCCTGCATCACCTCATTCACAACAGAAACATCTAGTTAAAATTATGCCATCTATCGCGAACTCGGTACTTAGGTATTTTTGTCTATCCTTAAGCTAAAAGAAACACTTTCATATGACTAAGAAACACTTTTAAACTCGAACGAAACGGTATACTCAGCAATCCCAATCCAAAAGATTTTCAATGAGAACGAAAGAATGAACGCAAAACCCACCAACACAGTGAACCAAATGCACAAACGTACGAATACATAAGACGCGGGATTAATGAGTGAAATTGAGAAAGGGAAAGCAAACCTAGAGCGAAGGAATGGGATTTCTTGGACGTGAAAGATGAGGAAGAAAGGAACGTTGGTAAGTGGGGCTTCTCGCACGTCATTCTTCTTTATTCTCCTCACTTTACCATTCCTGCAATAACAATTCTACTCTTGACCGTCCCCACGATTCTAGGGTTTGGTTCGAGTAAGAGAAAAAACAAAATTAAGAAAGAAGAACAACTAGGTCAAAAGAACTCACCGGAACGCAGGGCAACGCGTTAAATCTTGTTGCCGCGAGCGACTTGCTCCACCAAAGCCACAGTGACGTGTTCCACCAATTTAAGACGAACGCATGAAATTTGAGCGAAAATAAAGAGTGAAATTGGGGCAGTGGGTTTGATGAATCTGAAATTTAGGATACAGTGGGTTGTGGTTGATAGTGAAAAGAAACTCTAGGGATTTTGGTTGATAGTGAAAAGAAACTCGGGGGGAAAAGCAAGAAACTCGAGGGAAAGAGACCACGTAAACTCAACTTTTTTTAAAAACTTTTAAATGTCTAATAGATAGCGTTTTCTTAACAATGAGCTATCTGTTTCAACACAATATAGCGTTTTTTTCAAGAAACTACTGTCTATAGATTTATTTTAAATTATAATATTAATTACTATGCTTTTTTAAAAAAAACGTTATCTTTTGTGATAGAAATAGATAGTATTTTTTAAATAAGTATTATCTATTGTTCTGTACATCCATAAATAATATTTATTTATCTATAATCAATTTTGTAGTAGAAAAAAAAGATACTAATCTTAAGATTTTATTTAATATTTATTAGTTAAATTATTACTATTTTCCTTTATATTAATAGCACTTATGTATGAGTAAAAAGCGTTTTAACCCACTTAACAATAGTCAAATAAATTTGAGTAAAACACATGTGACACTCCGAATAATTTTAGTGGAACACCTTCCATCAAGCCTTTTTTTTATTAGAGGAAATAGAGATGAAGGTATACAAATTAAAATCACTTCCTATTATTTGATAAGAGTAAACAAACTACTACGTTCCGAGACTAAAAACATTTGATGACCTCTTGTTTTTCTTAATTTTATCACTCTTACTTATTTATATATAGTTGAGTATAGTTTTAAACTTATATTTTTTTGTTGAAATTACGTTTAGCTTTTTTAATTTCGTGTCTTATATTATTATTTTATTTATTTGTAATTACTTGTATTAATAGTTGTTATATTATTAAGTATATTTGCTCTAGATTATATATTTATTCTAGATTTATTGTAATAAAATTCTTCTTATTGTTATAGAAGACAAATATGTTAAAACTTAGGGACAGGAGAGGTCAAAAGACTTGCTACTGAGTCTCAGGTGAGAGCTAACAACAATGTGAATCCGTCACCACCATCACTTTCTGTGGTGCAACAACAGTATCAGTTCCTCCGTTCGGCCTCTATCCCTTCTCAGTAGTTCATTCATGTCCAGTTCTGCCCCCAGCGTTAACAACCCAACCATGAGGAATGCTCCTCACTCAATATCCTCTCCGTGTGCTCACGCTAGAATCGATAATATGATTCCATTTTTTGAACATAGAAATGACATGTTTGGTCCTCTAGTTACATCCAGTTATCGACCAAACGGGTCTTACGTTGATAGTGATCGAGAGACTACTAGAAGGGCTCTCCGTCAGTTCGAAGCCCCGGAATCGGAACCACTGCAATTACTACCTGGAATTATGGGCAATGGTGGCAGAGTTAGTAATGCTGGAGCCAATACGTACCATCCTCTGAGTGATTATAGCGCTATTTCTTCCACAGGGCTCACGAGGAACGAACCGTTCTGCTCCAGCAAGTAGTTCTGTCACTCAGAACCATCATAGGCCAATACCACAATTTCCTTCTCTTAATCACTAAGGAAGCTTCCATACGAGGTATGCTCAATTCCTTTTACCTTCACATAATTAAATAATACAAATATTATTATTATTGTTATTATATATCCATATATGAATGTGGGATCAATATAAATTTTGGTGATAAAATACATATAAATTTGGTGGCTTTATAGTTGTAATTAAAAAAGAAAAGGAAGAGTTACAACTGTTGATCCTCATCTATACTTGGCTCTGTATTTATTTACCTCCATATATACCACAAACATGCATTTGTCAGACACTACTAAACTTTTTTTATCACTTTTCTTATCATTGTGCTGACAAAAAAAACTTTTCTTATCATTGTATATTCTTATTATATCTTTTCTCTTTTAACGTGTTGAATAGTAGGAATGGATATGTCTATCCCTGTTATATATTATTGTTGAAGTTCTTTCTAAATATTGCGAGATATTTAGTTAAATAATCGGTGGAAAATGATTCTTGAAGTGACATATGTGTCTAAGAATAATAAATTTTCTTGTAAGTTCTTTGAAATTGTTGTGGACATTGTGTATGAGTTATGTGACGGAACGTAAAGAAATATATTTTAATCGTAGAAATTCATGCAATGGTTTGTAACAATGTGATCCTATCGAAAACAATGCATTCTAGTTCGACTATTTTGACCAGATGAGAATCTACGAACTTGTTGAAAAATTTGTAAATAAGAAAGATAAAAACATTAATCTCCATTAAGTAGTGTCATTTCTTTTATTTTTATATACCCTCTCCAGGACAACATAAGGGCGCGATCGAGTTGCTTCAGTCGAAAACAATTCTTGTACATTTAAAGTGAACAAAACTTTGATGCACATTAAAGCGGTATACTTGTTTTATCACAAATTTTGAAGTATGCTTTTTAAGTTGAAAATTTTATCACTTTTGTTTCGCAGTTTGATGCATAAATTCTTGTTTGTTTACCGTCATAATTTCGTTGCTAACTAATATAGCTTTCACCTAGTGAATTGTTTGGAATTTTATTTTTCACACAGTTTCGATCTCTTCTTCATTCTCGTGTGATCGAGGTAGATTTTCATGCTCTTAC